TCAGCCTTTGGGGGGTGGGGGGGGGCCGTGTGAACCCCAAAACCTCGGTAATTCGGCAATCGCCCAACGTTTCTGCGTTTTTCAGGAGTTGGAAAACACAAAGGGAAAGGTTTTTCTGCTCAAAGTTCCGAAGTTTCATGGCGTGCTGGGGGTTTGGGGTTGCTCGTCTGTGTTCCTTGTCGCACCATAGCGCCGAGGGCAGCACGGGCTGCTCTCAAACACGAGGTTTATTTTTATAAGTTTACTAGAAGCTTTTAAATTACCTGCATTCATTGTAAGGTAACCCTAGCCATTTGTAGAAGAGGGAAAGATTTGCCACGTAACGCCTTTCCTCTCAGCAGCTTCTCACCAGGAACACCAAATCCTCAGCTTTATTCATAATAGGATGCTAAAAGTGGTTTGTTTTTTTTTTAATAAAATGTAATTTTGCATGGAAGTGGGTTTAATTTTGCTTTAATTATACAAGCGAAACAAGATCTGGAAATGGCATGTGTCCCAACAAACCAAATTGCTAGGTAAATTGGTTTTACTATAATTTGATAACAAGAAATTGCCTCTGAAGCTGAGATCTTGCACGCCCTGTTGCTAAAACAGATTAACACAAACTTTTACAGCTAAATTATAAACCTGTGAAAGGTTTACTTCCAACCAGAAAGGGCTATTAATAGCATTGCAAGCAGTGGCGCTAGGATAATATTAGTAACAACATTTGTATATTGTTTTATAGATGCACCAGGTTGCTCTGTGTATTTATGGGAACGGCTAAAGTCGTCTCAGAATTTTGGATGTTGCTGAAGGGGAGGGTGCTGGCTCCAGTCCTGATGGCAAGGAGAGTTTTCCATGGCTCCGGTGACGGGTGGCGTGCCCTGTGTGTGGTTGAAGCAGTGCACCCAACACCCCCTGTTTACACCCCAGCACAGGCTCCGGCAGGTGAGGTGGTGACAGTGCCCTGGCTGTGGCTGAAAGAAAGGTATTTTTTTTGGTTCAGAATACATTAATCTAAAGCTTATTTCCTCTGCTATTCTGGCAATAATTATAAAAGTTCAAGAAAAAAGAGCTCTCTTTCCAGTTTGATAACAGTCAGGTTCGTTATTTCTTCTACATTACAGCGTTTTTCCACTGTAGGTCTTTCTCTCATTCAATAAGACAAAATACTGTCTTTGTAAATAAGAAAGTTGGGTGGTCAAACCGTGGTCAAGTCATGATAAGATGTTTCAGGAATAGATTTACTTCGTTAAACAATTTTGAGTGCCAATGTTTCTTCTGGAAACCAGCAGAGACATGGCAAGTAGCTCCAACTAAATGTAATTTCAGAAATTTATTATATTTTGTGTTCTGAAAGATTCATAGTTTCAACATTGGCTTCGCTTCCTAAATTAATACTACCATATCGGGCTTAACCCTCACTGGAACAGGAAAAGTCTCATATAATTCTAATTAGGTACCAAAGGATGGTGATGATGGCATTATTTTTTAAAGGCAAAAAAATTTCTTTCAGTTGCGTTACTCAATATATCTATGGTGATTTTGTGACTTCTGCTGGAGAATTTTTTTTTCTGATACTGTAAGACCAAGATTTCGAGCATATGCTAGGCAATGGATGAGTCTATTTCAGTGTGCGTTGGGAAGAATCAGTAATCTTTGATTGCCAAAGTAGTAATTCTAAATTGTTACGGTTATAAAAATTGGCTTTTTTGCTGATTTTTGTAGATGTTCCCACTTTGGAAATAGTAGCTCTTATGTATGCTATGGCAGTACAGTCCTAATATTGCAAATAGTTTTGGTCATCCAGTTTTCACTGAAAAATTGTAGTTATTAAAATACTTAGGTGATGAGTGGTTTTGTAAAAACCGCTTTGCTTCTTTTAGGAAGGGAAACCTCAGTGAGGTGTAGGAGCTGCTGCTGCTTTGCAGTCCCTCAAGCTGTGTGTGGGTCCAGACTCCTGCCCGTAGCTGCAGGCTCAGAACCCCCAGCCCTAAAGCCTCCTTACTCGAAACCACCCCTGCAGCAAAACCTTTCCCGTGGTAGGAAGCCAAATCCAGCTTAAGCTGGAGAAGACACTGCTCTGGCTGAGCAAATGGCGTTTTCTCCCCGCGTGCCCCTGTGCCCCTTCTTACTTTTATTTGCAAACCTGGCTTCAGGGTAGTGGCAATGGGTAACGTGGAGCACTCCAAACATATAACCGCTGCTGAAAAGTCCCTCACCCACTCGACAGTTTTACTCAGCCACGTTTGGAGCTTTTTTTTTTGCTTGCTTTGATTCTGCAGCACTTTGACACGGACCCAGCGTAAGCGTTACGGGCATTGGGGAGGGAGTGTTGATGTGGCAGTAACAAGGCCCAGTTGTCACACGTGTTCTGGCTCTCTAGCCACCTTGGAGCCATGAAAGTTATAGAGAGCATCCTGTCTTGTGGCTACAACTTACCTATAACTTATGTTGTAATTTTAAACTGGAAATCCCATGCCCAAATCCCCACTCAGTTCTGCTGATTTTAAGAGCCCAGCAGTATCAGCCAGAGAAGCAGAAGCAGCATGAGGAAATAGAGAAATACAAGGAAGGAGCTAAAGTAAATCATCAGGTGTAATGAGCTTGATATTTCATTTATGGTAATGTTTTATCTTCTGTTTACAGCAAGCAGGTGCTCTATAGCCATTACTTTTACTACTGGGGAGAAATGATCTCGTGCAAAGGTGTAAGGCATTTCACGTTGCAAATGACACTTTCCTGTTGGCACGGGCACATGGAGAATTTGTTTCCTTTGTATGCTGGGGGAGTAAATATCTTCTTGTGACATCTTGGAGAGGATCAGTCCTTTCCATCTGGGTGGGAGCGTGGCCACAAAGCCCTCGCCGTGGTGCCTCGCTCCCCTGGCAGCGAGTTGCACTCCTGCAGCCGGTGTGGAGTCACCTCTGCCTGATGTCACCAGCCAGTTTTCACTCACCATTACAAACCCAAAGTTGAATGCTGGCAAGGAATGTACACAGGAGCGAAATTAAAGATACTTTCTATCAAAATCTTATTAATTTATCAAAATTGCACAGGTTCCTAGTAGCAGGTGGTCAATAATAGATGATAGATGGCCTCCTCTGTATAAATTAATGTCTGTAATTCACTTGAGGGGATCTGCTGATGTCATGAGCTGCCAGAGTGCAGCCTGAGTGATTTATTAACAGCTGCAGAAATCCTAGAGTGAATTATATCCCTGTATTCATTTAGGGCCTGCAAATTGTTATTTATAAAATATAGAGGTTTGTATTTCTTCATTATTATAGGTATCTTTTCTGTGGCTCTAATACAGGGGCAAGGTCCAGAAATTATGGGTATAAAAGCTCAGCTCCTCACCTACAGTAAAGGCAGATTTTCTCCACTAATGCTTATCAACAGCAACCCTTTCCTTTATTTTTAAAATAAGCTAATCAATATCTGCAGGGGTTTATGTAAGTCCTGTTTTGGGTTTTTCCCTCCCCCCACCATTAAATACAAATAAAGTCAGTATCTTCTGATCCAGGAACTTCTGTCACTCAATGTTGTAGTCACTACCTCTGTACACATTAGGCTATGTCCAAAACAAAAATATAGAAGAGGGCTGGGTGCTAAACAGGAATAAGTGCTACCTCTAATAATATCTGGATTTTTCTCTTTAGAAAGCAGACAACAGATCCAGAAGGCTATAAAAGGCACCTGAAAACCAAAATTCTCTGCGTACAGGGAAGAGACTGTCCCATCTCCTAACACTGTCCTTGTTCAGGAAGAAAACCCTTATGTTCCTCCATAAAATTCCTGCATGGTGAAAGGGAAAATTTTCTCAAGATCCCAGGTTAGTCACACCATTCTAAAATGTGAACATACGCAAGCAAAAGAAATAATATTAATTTCCGTTCTTTTTCCCCCCTTCCCTCCAAAAAAGTAGGTGATGGGGATGATATTAAATCATGTTTCTCAAGCAAGGGATACATTTCCAAAAAGCAATGCAAGTTGTAGAGGGAGAGGGAAAAGGAGATGAGAAATAACTGATGAAGTGTTGCACGGCAGGAAGGAACAGTCAGAATTCATTTGCAAACAACTCTGTGTCTTATTTTTGCTAATGATGCAGAATTTCTCAACAGAACTCACAGTGAGTGTTTGGATGCCAGCTAGATTCCAGAGAAAACCCTTCCAGCCTTCTCTCCGAGATTAGTTTTGTTTGTTGATAGTTAGATTTACCAGTTCTCGGGAGAGCGCTGCAGTTACTGGCCTCAGCAAGCACCACTGCTTTGGTACCAAACAAATACTGCTTTCCTCCTGCTTTCCTTCACCAACCTCTGGCTGGCTGAGTGATCTGTCTCTACGTAAGAGGTACGAATAGGAGGAAGGTGATATTTGTACAGAAAACAAAGGTTAGAATTTGAAGAAAAACAGGCTCCAGAAATTGTTCACTCCCTTGAGGCAAAGCCCTTTGAAGTCATTATGAGTTTACTAATTTCAGTAGGCCTGTTATTGCTCTTACAGCGTCATGGACAAAGCCCAATCACATCAGGATCCCACTATGTTAGATATTATACAAATGCACAGAAGGGTATCAAGGAGCAGGAAAAAAAATAGCCTTTTTTTTTTCCTGCTTTAATGAATTGCTGTCCTTTGGATGCTTTTAAAATTGCTTATGGATTTGTAGTAGCATATCAGGGCAGAAAAGGGGCAAAAGAAAGGACCCAAAAATGTGCTTGTTTCATATTTTTGTTTGTAGATTTTCATGCACTGACACTGTTCTGCTCATTAGCCAATTATAGAATCTTCTCATCACTGCTTTTGGTTATATAGGAGAGATATGTGGATATTCATCTTCTTCTCCTACCAGAGTCTGGCAGGCCTTTGGTTTTCTGCAGATGGAGGGTAGTTCTCAGGTGCTTTTTTTTTTTAATTAATGGGATGTTCACTGCTTTTATGCTCCATCAGTACTAAAGAGTTACCTCAGAGTGAGCACTGGATCCATATGCGAATCATGTATCCATTCTGACATAAACCACACGGGCGCTTTGCCAAGAATAAATCCCATGAGAAGGGCATTAAACCAAGCACGATGTTCTCTTTTCCCTGTGGATACCTCAAGCTCCAGCTATTGTTTCCAGAGAGGATGCTTTACCCAGCAATGCTGCAGTGAGGAGAATAATTTGTGTGCTTGTAATTTTAACTCCATGTCCCAGGGCTGGCATAAGAATTTTTCCTCTCCTGAAAAAAAAAATAAAAAATTTAAAATTAGAAAAATGGAGTATTTATGTCAAGTGACAAAAAATAATTTGAGTGCATCTCTGCAGCATTCCTGTCATGCAAAATGGAGTTTACTGTTGATGACTTGCTCAGAAAGGGAAATGGTTGCCTTACACCACATGATCACACATTTGGAAGCATGCAAGAGGTTAATTTAGGGGAGGGAAGGATGAGGAATGAAACAAATTTTGTCCTTATCTGCTTCATTCATCTGGTTTTGGGAATAATAAGAAGTATGAGCTGAAGCAAGTTTATATAGATGATATATCAACACCTGCAAAAAAGGAAAATGGCTCAGGATTTAATATGTGCAAATATTGAACATCTTTTTTTTCTTGTGTGTCTGTTACAATGGAGGCTAGCATCTTACAGAGGTAGCTTTGAGACCAGGTTGGAGGGAAGCCAGAAAAAATTCTCTTTAGAAGAGAGACAATTTTTTTTAGGCACTTGGATACATAGCAGCTATCAGTTACATGGGCAAAACCACTTTGGTCTTATTTGAGGTTGAACGACATACACCAATCTTGGTGTTTCTCTGGTGATACAACTCTACAGGTCCCAAGTATCTGCTTTGCTGTACCACCCTTACGATTCTGCAGATGAGGGTGTCACACCATTGTACAGGACACTGGTGCATAGAGAGTACTTTCTTCAGGAGAGGTTTGTGAAGCTCCAAGCCAAATTCACTCCGTAGAGATGGAATTTTCTGTGACTTTTCCTTGGGCTTTCCCAGTCACTAGCCATTTAAGATGCCAAGCGTAGGCTGATTGAGAGAGTTGTTACTCTGCTCTTTCTGTAATTAGGGATATTAAAATGTCATGAAGTGGGCACTCTGTCTCTAGCCGCTTTTGAAAATTTTGGTCATAATGTCCAGTTGCCTATTTTGTTTGTGCAATGGTGGGTTCTGTTAGAGTCTCTGGGATAAATAATGAGTTGCTTTCATTACTCAGAGTGGAAAGAAAGATAGATCATTTGCCTGTGCTTACTTTCAAGGCTTTCACTCCATGTGCCTGTGATAAGAATGTATATTTCAGTGCAATGGAATTACAGCTTTGATAACATCCCTTCCTTAAATATGATAGAGTCTTGCTGGACTCCAAAGAGCAATGCAATAAATCTGCCTCAGTTATTATTACTTCAGGGGCAGTCATAATTGACCTGCTTCCTTGTGACTGTAAAACACATTGTCATATGTCACTGGAAATGGCCTTTTAACTCTCAGCTTTGTCTAGAACTGAAGTTTGGAAAAAAACATCTGGCTACTGTCATGGATGTATATGGAGGTGGCTTGATACTTCTGTTCTAAGCTTTGGAAGGACTGTGTTATTCATCAAGGCTGAATGGAAGGCAAGAGATGGAAATTTTGGCTGTATACATTTTTTCATACAGCCAAGTGAGAAATTACAAACACATCTGGACTGGGATTTGCCTTGGCAACAAGTTGGGGTTTTTTTTCTCCTTTATGGGCTCTATCCTGCTGACTTTGGCCTTTGTGTGAAACTGCAAAATGGCAGATATAAGAAGTAGGATTGCAAGCTCTCAACTTGGTGACTGGGGCTAATACTTTTAATGACAGAAGGATGGGATCAGACAAACTAAAAAAAAAAAAAAAAAAAAGAAATAGTTTGATGAACAAAACTTAGAATTGTTTCATTCTATTAAGAAATGTCACCGTTTATCTAAGTAAAACTATTAAACCTTAACCTGTATCTTTTCTTTCACCTTGGTGTGTGTCTAGGGTAAAGGTTCAAACCAATCCTTTTCATGTACATAATCATGGGCTGCAATTAATTACAATCTAGTTCTTTTAAAAAGAATCCATTAAGAAATCATACCAGATGAACAACCACTAAAGTAGAAAATCTGATGCATTAAGAGTTAGAGGCTTGCCATGTACGTGCTACTTTGTGTAGCATTTAACAACGCTTAAAAAAACATTAAGAGTAACTTGTGTGTTATAGCAGTATTCACAGAAATGAGAATTACCTTTTAAGAAAGAAAGGAGGGGTCAAGAAAAACAAAAAAAAAAAAAAAAAAGAGATATAGTGTGTTCTAGGTGTGCCTGCCTAGTTTTCTGACTTTGTATTTCTGCAGAAGACACCTTCCTCTTGGTCAATATCAAAAGCTGTGTCTGTTTCTTTACCTAGTTGAAACAATTTGCTAGCAGCTTGCGGAGAAAGCATTACGAAAACACAAAATCCTTCTGCTGAACATGGTGCCATTAGAGGCTAGGAAAGGATTGGGATGACAGATTCCTCAACGTGGTTCTAGTTTTGCATGTGAAACATTTCACTAATCTCCTGTCTCCCTCTGTTAGTTCATTGTCTCTAATCCTCCTATTTATACCTATCAGTAAGTTAATGAAATCTACGCCAAAGGTTTGCTACATGACTCAAGAGTGTTTAAAAAGTGCATGGCAATGAAGTAAGAAGTCCTCTTCAAATTCAGCCTTTCACATTCTTTTCCTCCTCCCTTTATTTAGAGGAAGAATTAACTTGCATCCAGCTTTCTAGCTGAGCTGGGAAAAATGTTGTTTAGGATTATTAGAAGACAAAATTTGTGATTCTTGTTCAGACAATCTAGAAGGAAAAGTATCAAGGTCTAGGGACTATTGCTTCTGAATTGTGATGCAGATTGTACCCGCATATGTTACATGATTTGCTGTGACTTTCTGACATTCCTTCTCAGTCTCTGACAGAAGTAACCATGGTGGTGGCATTGCAGATGGTAGGTCTTGCAAGATGAAGACTGATTTGGCAATTTTGTCTTTGTTGAAATCTCTGTGGGTTTTGAAGACCTGGGTCAGGTTTATAGGAGGGTGTAGTTTTACCAGCAGGAGAAGGGAGGCTCATTGTGCAGATACTGCATTAATGAAGTGTTGACAGAGAAGCAGCCTGTGCTCCAAGGCTGAGGGCAGGTCTGGCTCACATGATTCAGGGCTCTGAGTCTGTAGCTGAAGGCCAGCCACTTAAATGCCAAACCCATTTACTTCTTTGAAGAACTCCAGGATGCCTCTGAGGCGAGGTGGAGAGGAACAGAGAAACTTCTTCAGTGATGCACCAGGATAAATAAGGAGTTTCCATGTTCAAGGTTAGTGAGAACATGGATGGAGTGGTCAGAGTAGATGCTTACACACGTTCTACATACAGAAAGCAGATGAATCTTGCTTCTCCTTTCTATGCTTTGCTGTCCTTCCTCATTCCTGTTAGCTGAGTGCAAGAGAATGTCTGACGACAGGGGAAACTTTCCTTGAAACTTCTGAATATTGATGGGAAGCCCCTTTTTCTTTTAAGGAGATCCTGGTTTTTCTAGTCAGTAGTTTTTCACATGAAGAGGAACTTTGTCGTTCTGCTTTCATAGTACCATCCTGCCAGAAAGCTGCTTCTCCAACAGATGTCTACCAACATGAAAGGTCATATCGGCCTGACCTGCCATGACCAGAGAGTGGCTGTTCTCTCTCAGGGAGTCAGGGCCCTGCTTATCAATGCCTTCTTCACAAGCCAGTTACCCTGGAAAAAAAATAACTACTTGCTGGCTGCCAGTCAGCTAATAAATGCTTAGTCCCAAGAAAAGGCCACTAGGTTCAAATCTGTAGGCAACATGGCAGGGGAGTTGGCAGGGAAAGGCCATCTCGGTGGTTGCAGGATGCACACAGCTTGTGATTTTTTAGGGAAAGTTGAAGTCAGTGGGAAGGCCCCAGTTTCACTGAGGACCTTAAGCGTAAGAGCAATGCTTATTAAATGTCTAATTAGGTTGATAGACTCTGCCTTATGTACCTACCACAGAATTCCAGGCTTGAGATGGGGCATTAAGGACTGTCTTGTGTTCCTGTGCATAAAGGGCACTGTGTGTAAGCCCCAGCTGCCAAAGATGTTGCTGCATGTGCAGCGTCGTGCTGAATGCAGAGGGATTAGTGTACCTTGACAGCAAACCATGAAGGTTTTCCTCAGCTGCCTCAAAAAATACAGCGAGTTTATTCTTCACTTTGAAACAGCTTCTGTGCTGAAACGGGGAAGCACAGAAGAATAATCATCCTTTTTCCAGTGCAGCTTTGCTTTTGGTAGTGTGTTCATCTCCACAAGAAAGCAGAAGAGCTGGTATGTAAGAGCAACCCCTTTAAAGGACTGCAGAAACCAGAACTTGTTCTTTATTAAAGCTCCCTGATAAGTCTGGGAGCTTTCCCTTGCAGCCAAATAATATGAATTTGTTTTCATTTCTTTATAGTAACATCTAATATCTGATGTAGGTTTGCTCTTGGCTTCTACCATCCTTTTTTGTCCAGACAGTATAGATACACAGAACAGATCGATGATTTCAGTTAAAAGATAGATGCTTAAAAAAAAAAAAAAGATTAAAAGTGATATTTGGGTTGCAAATTAAACTTAATGCTAAACTCCAAAATTTTAGCTCACAAGATCCTTTCCTGTATCAGCTTCTCTGTAAGGCTACAGTCTGTATTTAGTCCCCAGTCTGCCAGGCCTGGCCAGTCTGCCACCCCATAATAACAGCTAACCTGTTCTCTAGGCTTTTTCCCGTTTCATCCAGTGTCCATTAGGTGTAACAGGCAGGGCTGGTAGGACAGGGTTGGCCAGTCTCATGCATCCTGGCCCCAAAGAGGCCACTTCACACTGATGCCCTCTCCCTCCAGTCATTGTCTTGTTGGAGCTGCTCTGACCATGTGGTGCTCCCAAGGTTGGGTGATACTCATAAGGCTGTTGCATTTTTGAACCTAAGCTCCCTGTGTGGATTTCAGGTGATACCTTCTACATTCCCATAGAAATGCAGATACTTTTTTTTTTTTTTTTGCATTCTTCTTCCAGTTGCTTTGTGTTGGGGATGAAACTTTAGATGACAACCGTATTTGACAAGCAAGCAGCAGTGATCTAGTTACAGTCCCTGTAAGATCTTAAAAGCCAAATGGCCGCTCCTGACTGAGAAGTTGCCAGTCTAGAAGCAATCTATTTATTACTTAAACTATATATGTATTTCAAAAAAAAAAAAAAAGGAAAAGAAAAGAACAAGCCTTTCTTGGCTGCTCATTTTTTCCTCATATGCAGAAAAATGTCTTTGGTTAAAGTACAAGTAAGTGGTATTTGCAGGTCTAGCAGGAGTGGTTCTACTTTTGGTGTATTTTTCAGCAGCATTTTGTAGGTAGTGTCTGAGTGCCATACTACTGATTTCTTCTGCTAGAGCATGTTCTAGCCCACATTCCTCTCTGCTATGTTAGGGAATGGAAACTCCACAGGTCATAAGCCAGGGATTTAGTGATTCGTGGTATCAGACGTTTTGTAAAATTCTGCTGCCTTTGTCTAGCTGTTCCTCTCTCTGTTTCTCAACGTGGGAAGTTTTGTCAAATCTTGTGGGTAAGATTATTTGTTTTTTATTTCACTTTTCAGTTTCTTGGAAGCAAAAATATTTTCTGAAGTGCAGCTTTGCAGAGGGAATCTATTAATGGACTACATCTGTCTCTGTAACGTCTTGTGGCGAGACAGTAGGTACACAGGACAGACTGACAGAGCCCTTTTTTGGGGGGGGCAGCACAGAGTCAAGCTTGTTTTCAAACAAGGGATTACTGGATCCTTGTTTACTCTCTGGCTGTTGGCAAACTTATTTATGATTCTACTCTTAATCCTCCTATTTTAGGAGAGAATTGTGAGGAAAGGTGATTCATCCCTCACAATACCTGACACCCTCTGACTCTCTGGAGCCTGGGTAGTTTGTGTACCCTGGACAAAGTAGGGTGATCGCATTTGTTTTGTGGCTGCCTGCTGTCAACACAGATATTTTTGGGTCATCTCTCTGATTTTCCTGGCCATGGAAGTACCGACATGCTTAGACATCAGGGCAGGGACATATATGTTATTTAATGGCCTTATTCTTTACTTTTTGGCAAAAGACCACAGTAAGCTTTGCTTATCTGTTTTGACTGTCATCTTCCTCTACTATCTCAAAGTGAACTGAGAATTCTAAGTTTTTCTGTTAGCCCCTTCTCAGTGCTGGAGCCATGTCAAGGTAACAGTGAGGCCATGTAGGTCATGCTGTCTCCAAGATGTTGAAGGCAGACATATTTCTTGATTTGGTTTATTTGGTTAGTTACGCAGTATCCTGCTGGCAGCAGGGCCTGGATGCAGATAAGGTGGCCACAACTATTAGCAATGAAGTTAGGTTTATAATTTGGAGAAAATGATGGAGCAGCAGTCCATGCTTGTGCCACCTGAAGATGTCTACTCTACTCTACTGTACTCTGCTCTCATGTGACCCCACCTGGAGTATTGCATCCAGCCTTGAAGTCCTCAGTACAATAACAACATGGACCTGGTGGAGCGGGTCCAGAGGAGTGCCACAAAGATGATGAGAGGGCTGGAGCACCTCTCCTATGAAGACAGGCTGAGAGAGTTGGGGTTGTTCAGCCTGGGGAAGAGGAGGCTCCGGGGAGACCTTATAGCAGTCTTCCACTACTTAAAGGGGGGCTACAGGAAAGATGGGAAGGGACTCTTTATCAGGGAGTATAGTGATAGGATGAGGCATAATGGTTTTAAACTGAAAGAAGGTAAATTTTGATTAGATATTGGGAATAAAATCTTTACTGTGAGGGTGGTGAGGCACTGGAACAGGTTGCCCCGGGAAGTTGTGGATCCCTGGAAGCATTCAAGACCAGGCTGGATGTGGGTTTGACCAACCTCCCTCTGGTGGGAGGTGTCCCTGCCCATGGCAGAGAGGTTGGAACTAGATGACCATCCCTGGAGATATTCAAAAGACAAATTGACATGGTGCTCGGGAATATGGTTTAGTGTGTATGTTTTGTTTGCTTATTTCTTTTTTTTTTTTTTTTATGGTTGGACTAGATGATCTTAAAGGTCCCTTCCAACCTAGGCGGCCCCACTTTTCTTTACACCAGAAATCTCCCTTCATCTGCAGCATTTTGTTCATTCTGTGATTTCTATGTCACACACATTAGCTGTGTTCTTCATACAGCTGTGCCTTGGGACTAGCCATGAACTTTAGCTGCTATGACTACCATTGACTGCTGAGTGTTTTCCCCTGTAAACTTTTTGTGCTGTGCAGTCTCTGCTGGCTTCTGGATTGTCAGATGGAATATGATGCATGATGTCCTAAATGGGTTGATTCCTGGTTACCTGAAGGAGAGAGACTGATACTGCTGCTTGCAAGACTGTTGGAGGTATCTGGGCTAATAGACTCTTCAGTCACAAGATGGTTGCCACAGAAGGATCCAGGACTTTTCTTGAAAATTAGTTTCCCCCATCAGGTTGGTAAAACCCTAATTTATTGACTTTCAGTTCATATTTTGAGTCTATATTTGTTTTCCTGAACCCTTAAAAATGGGGATGCCTGTGTGGGTGCTTTTGCCCAAAGTTTCCTAATGCTCTGAACATCAAGGACTTGGACATGCTGCCTTCTTTGGAAAGCTGGTCCTTGTAATATGTTCCAAAATATATTCTGTAACTGCTCAATATTCACCAATATTTGACAGGAGCATGCTGTTATCCACCACAAGCTATGAACTTAGAAAACTGAGAATTAAATAGAGGCGAGGGACTGTCCCAATATTGACCTTCTGAATACCCATTTCTTCTTGATCATTGCCCCAAATCCTCTCCTTTCTATAGCAGAGCAACACAATCGTCTTACTTGTCCTCTGCGTTTTTATAAATGCAGAAAGTTATCAGGATATTTTTTATTAGCTGCTAATAAAAAAATCTTTCTGATTTCTTGCTCCTTTGGAAAGTTAAGCCTCCCATAAAACCCTCTAGCAGTGATTTGGAAATTTAACAATGTTTTTGCTTCAGAGGTTAAGAAAAAAATATTTCTTTCTGAGGGAGAGATAAGGGGAAGGGAAGCCAAACTTTTGAAATCAGTCTCCTGCGCTGAGGAAGGCCAGCCAGAGCTAGGTTCATGAATAAAGCTTGTTTTTAAGGAGCAAAGTTTCTAAGTAAAGGAAAAGACAAACTGCAATTGAGAAGGCTCTTGAGGTGAACATTAGCAAAACTTTTGGTTCTCTACCACAGCCCAGGCACAGTTGCATTGTTGTAAAGTAACCGAGGCAAAAGAACATTACCATTTACCTCCTTTATGAATGCTGAGTATGAACATACACAATTGCTCATTCTGGGTGACTGACAGTTTTTTGGGGATGATGATGCAGAGACGGGACATTATCCTCATCTCTGTCCAGACCTGTGAAAATTCTCACCACAGAGTATTCACATGGAGGAGCTGCTAATATTGCTTTCAGAAGGAAGGACAAGTGTTAGGGCTTTGATCTGACAGCTTTCAGACCAGATCTTTGCCCTTTTCACCCCCTCTATGCCATTCAGTTAGTGTCTTTTAAAAGGTTTGTGCTGGCCTTACATATTTACCTACAGCCATGCATCAAAATCAATACTTTCTCTTTAAAATTCATTTGATGCATTACAGTACTGGAGAGAATTTCCAGTGGGAACACTGGGAAACTGAAGATTAGCTCACAAGTAAACATCTGAGGTTTGGTGCCAGAAGGCTATTCTAGTTTTATAAGGACAACTTCATCATTTTTACTCTTATGTATATCAAAATCATAATTGATTTTATAAGGACAACTTCATAATTTTTGCTTTTATGTGTATCAAAATCATAACTGAATGAATCTTCCTTGTGATTATAAAGAAATCTGACGGGGATTGTTTTCTCTTCTTTCTGTCAGTGGCAGCTTCTGGACATAGTTGGGGAAAACCCTAGTTTAATCAGGCTACACAAGACCAAATGCATCCTCCATCTTGATCCCCTGCGTCATACAGAGCTCTTCTCGGCATTGTTCCTCCTGATGCTTAATCTAACCTGCTGTGCAAAAGAGGCTGCTCTAATTGTGTTTGCTCACTACGCAAATTTGTGTGGCAAACAAAGATTTTGCCCCACTTTTCTTTACACCAGAAATCTTAACAAAACACTTTCTCAACTAATGGTTTTTTCTCCCCCAATAATTTGGGTCCAGCTGTTTATTTAACAAATAACGGTGTTGCTCTTTTCTTTTAGCACCCTCTAATAAACCAAGAGTAAATTACTGGCTGACCTACTTACTGGGATTGCTTAAATAATCCTCAATATGGCAATATAACTTGATGCCTTAAAATACAGGGCACAGAAGTTGCAAGTTAAAAGAAGAAATATTGAATGTTAATGAAAACACAATTGTTTTCATAATAGCCTGAGGGATATTATGTTTCATGTCTAATGTTCCCTTCCTTCCCTTCATCTGCAGCATTTTGTTCTCCCCTCTTGTAGATGAACTAATTCCTGAATCTCTGAATGAACTGGGCAAAATACTAATGATCTGGAGCCAAAACAAGAAGTTTCCAAAAAAGGTAGATGTGTTTTCTATCTTTAGTATGTTTTAAAGGGAGGGCAAAATGCATGCTTGCATTACACCATTTCTTGCTTTGTGCGTTCTTGTGCATCTCTGTGCAATTCCCAGCGACAGCCCCACTTAAAGAAGAAGAACAGTATTTCAGGAATAGGGGGAAACAATAAGATACCAAGTTTTCTCCTTTAAAAGACAATGGGAATGGTTCAAAGTCAACAGTGTGGGTAATCGTCTCCCAGATTTAGCAAAGCAGTTGAGTAGATTCTACCTAATAAGCTTTTTGTTTTACACATTTGTGTTATAGCACTGAATCTAAATTTCTCTAGATCAGGAATGACACATCTATATTGATATTTTTCTGTTTGGGACAATTTCTTTCAGTAATAAGATATGGGGGAGAGATGCTATCCTGTCAAAATTCTTGCTGATTTTTCTTTTTAGTTGCTACCTTCTTCCTATTGTGTTGATTTGAGTCCCCATGTTATAAACATTAAAATGTAGTGCACACTAATGCTTATCTACATAAATAATTATCAACTAGCTCTAAGCTTCATATATGAAAGAGGTGTAGATCAAATCTTGACAATGATGAATCTACTTTTCATTATATTCTGGCATTAGTATGCCGAGCTCCCAGTGATCTGTAACAGAGACCTTCATAGTGATTGTATTCTTCATAATTCACCCTGTTTTATAATAGAGTTTGACCTGAAGTTCCTGAGCATGGCTGAATTTCAGAGATGTTAAGTGCACACCCTGGTCATCACTTTGAATATTTTGCTTCATCACATATCCATGAGTAATGAGATCTCTAATTTCCACTTAGCTGATTAAGCAGCTTCTTAGGATTTGGGCCTTGGTGTATATCATAGAATCATAGGATGTTTAGAGTTGGAAGGGACCTTAAAGATTGTCAAGTTCCAACCCCGCTGCCATGGGCAGGGACACCTCCCACTAGAGGGAGGTTGGTCAAACTCACATCCAGCCTGGCCTTGAACGCTTCCAGGGATGGGGCATTCACAACTTCCCGGGGCAACCTGTTCCAGTGCCTCACCATCCTCACAGTAAAGAATGTCTTCCTAATATCTAATAAAAATTTACCCTCTTTCAGTTTAAAAACATTTCCCCTTGTCCTATTGCTGCACTCCCTCATAAAGAGACCCTCCCCATCTGTGGGCCCCCTTCAGGTACTGGAAGATGCTGGAGCCTTCTCTTCTTCAGGTTGAACAACTCCAACTCTCTCAGCCTGTCTTCACAGGAGAGGTGCTCCAGCCCTCTGGTCATCCTTGTGGCCCTCCTCTTGACCTGACCAATAGGTCCATGTCCTTCTTGTGCTGAGGACTCCAAAGCTGGATGCAATACTCCAGGTGGGGCCTCACAAGAGCAGAGTAGAGGAAGAGAATCACCTTCCTTGACCTGCTGGCCATGTTTCTTTTGATGTAGCCCAGGATGTGGTTGGCTTTCTGGGCTGCAAGTGTGCATTGCCAGGTCATGTTGAACTTCTCATCAACCAGCACCTCCAAGTCTTTCTCCTCAGGGCTGTTCTCAATCCATTCTCCGTCCAACCTGTATTTGTATTTGTGCTTGGGGTTGCCTTGACCCAGGTGCAGGACCTTGCACTTGGCCTGGTTGAACTTCATGAGGTTGGCATGGGCCCATCTCTCATGCCTGTCGAGGTCCCTCTGGATGTCATCCCTGCCCTCCAGCATGCCAACTGCTCCTCACAGCTTGGTGTTGTCAGCAAACTTGCTGAGGGTGCACTCAATCCCTCTGTCCACGTCACTGACAAAGATGTTAAACAGCACCGGTGCCAGTACCGACCCCTGAGGGACACCACTCGTCACTGCTGTCCACTTGGACATCAAGCCATGCCACTGAAGACTTCCAGGGAATGTGTGGTTACTAGTAAACTAAGCCATGTTGCAACTTCAGCTCTGTAGAAGCCTTTGCTCATACGTACAATCTTGTCTTAAACCAGGATCATTTATTAATAACACAGCTAGGAGTTCTCTCTGCCTGGGTTTGTTGGATGTCTGATCTAACAAGAACAAGTGCCAGGGATCTGAAAAAAAAATTAATGTCTGATCCAACAGACTTTACTCTGCCCAGAGGAAGGGCTCTATTGAATGAGAAAGACCTAAATCTAGAAGCAAAACAAAGAGAAAACATGACAGCAACTTGGAGTGGTTAGAAAAATGTCTAAAATATGCCTTAGCGACTTTCAACAAAGAACTGGCAGCATCTGGATCAAATTGAAATGCTTGGTCACTTCAGTGGCTGTGGAACAAGAGTAGTAATTACCTAGTGACAGCACTGTGAACTTTCAGCTTCTGATTCTAAGTGGGAGTCATATTTACATTCAAACAAGACAATGAGAAAAAAGGACTAGATAAAGAAGAACTTGGCTGTACTACAGAGGTTTGATAACTATCTGGTGGTAGTTGAAAAATGCAAAGAGAAAAGTTGTGGAACCAGGTTAGTTCACAGGATGTCTTTACAGAGGAATTAGAATACAGCTTCTCGTGCTTAATTTTAGGACCTATATACTGCTGTCATGTTGTCTAGGAGACTGGTGAATTATCTCACGAAGAAAGTGTGATGAAAGCTTTGTTATGAGTCATGTAAGACTGGACCGATAAAGCACTAGAAATTGTTACAGAAGCAACTGGGTATTGGCCTTAAATGAGGAAGGACTCAGTGGATTCAGCAATCTTCATTTTGATAGTGGAGACTAGGAGAGAAGAGGAAAGAAGAAACAAGGAAAGTGCATGTGATTCCACTCAGCTGCATTTCTCCATCTGCTCAGGATCTCAAGTGTTTGGTTAGCATTACAGACACAGGCTTACTGCAACACCTAGCTGCTTGTTCAGCCAGAGGCACTAGAACAGAGTTGTTGTGCCAAAACTATGCAAAAATCAGAGGGCAGATTAAAATCCAAACTTCCTTTGCCTTAACAAACACTCTTGCCTGCTTTTTCCAATCAGTTCATTCTGGAATAATGATCACAGTAAGATGGTTGGATGTCCTTATAGTAAACTCTACAAAATCTATTAGTTTTTTGCACTCTTCCTCTTAGTGTTTGTCTTCAATGAAACTCCATGGAGATACTTGAACTAACTGCAGAGCAGAAGGTGTAAAATTAGCCTGTATGAATCTTTATGCTGTTTATGCTTCATGGCTTTCAGGATCAGAGGTAGCTATTTTAATACTCCATGCTTTGATGACACTGGAAACCCACAAGTCTTCAGCCTCCATTTTGCTGTGAGGTTTTTGGTAAGGCATGGCCAGTTTGAGCTGGGTTGTTCCCACCTTTTCTGTTGAATGGTGAACGTTTGTTATTGGTATTAGCACCATGAAGTTCTGGAAATAAAACAGCAAATATCTGTCAGTGCATCACCCTTTCTTATGCAGCAGTGTGTCTGAAAATGTTAGACATGCCAAATGAGAAGTGTTTCTTCAATTTGGGAAGAAGGGTTGAAGGAAAAGAGGAGAAGAGGATTTTCTCAGCAGTAGCATGAACAGGGTTTCTCACAACTCTTGTATGGTCTACAGAAGACAGGTTCCTTCTTAATTTCCATGCCAGAGGTCAACAGGTGGAATATCACGTCTCTCAGTGGGAAAACCTGCTCTGAAACACTCCTTCCAAGTGGTTTGAAAGGGTGTGGTTGTATGTGCAAGTCCCAGCAAGTGCAAGTTGCACTTCTTTACTTGATTGGGCACCCTCTTGAAGTCTTCAAGAATAAGGCAATGCCCTACCTGAGAGGAAGCAGGCAGAAGAAGAGTTTCTTCAGGTCTGTGGACAAGATAAAATAATGCACTGGGAACCAGAGAAGAAATGCAAGGGGAAAAGAAACACAAATTAAGTAGTCAAGAGACTATGGTTCCATGTTTAGGCTGGAAACTTCCTAGAATGTCCTATGGTCTTAACATGGCTATGGACTCCAGTGGTGTTTCCCATCATATCACACTAAAATCTATCCAAATGGATAGTTATATAGTCCCCAGGACATTTTAAGGGACCTAACCCTGTAATTTGGCTGCCTTTTGTTTGGGGATTTTTATTTTTTTTTCCTTAGAGCAGCAGTGTCCTAGGCTTTGTGAATAAATTGTGAGAAGACATGTCTCCTGAGATGCTTGTTTTGTACTTGCAAGAGAAGGTCCTTTGCTACTTCACAAAGGACCGTTGGGTAGTCAAGTGTGTGTCTTGACAAAGAAGAAATAAAACATCATCTGGCAAGGAATTCCTTCCACGAGATGGATGTAGTGGTTCATATTGTGAAGAAATTCTCATTGCCACATGTACCTGAGGACATAATTGCAGCTGAAGTCAATGGCTACACAAGGCAAGGCATTTGAATGAGCGACATCTCCCAGGTGAACATAGGAGTCTGATTCAAGAAAGCTTGAGCTGCACAAAGTAGACCTCATTTTGTCCAACAGATGAAGCCCTAAAATGTTATAGGGGAATCTAGAAAATTATGACAGTCTCTAAAATCAGCAGAGAGAAAAGATTTTTTCTGACCCACACCAAAGCAAAAGGTTTTTTCTGACCCACAGTTGTCTTCCTAAAGTAGGCAGTGTGAAACCTTGTGCATTTAACTTCTAAAAGCCCTGGAAACTCAGTGTCTGCTAGTTTGAGGAGATGACACAGAGCACTAATTTGGTAGCGCTTAAGAGTCTGGCATGGTGTAAAAGATGATCCTCAGTGTGTTATGAGGGAAAATTTGTATCTGCTGTGATCAAATCTTTTATGCTCAACAGTCCAGTGATTTCATATAACAGTTGAAAGGAAATGAAGAGTGTTTGGTCTTAGGTCCAAGAAGGCATTGACTGTAAGAATTGGGAGGGCAAGCCCCAGAGGCCAGAGATGTTGTGTATTGCTTTTGTCTATTCCAGTTTTCAAAAGGACATAATTTTACACCTTGACAATTTGAGTGTTTTTAATCCCTTCAAAAAATCCTTGCTACAGTATTGTATCTATTTGTAGCATCTGGACATGGAACACTATTACATATAGGGTATAGCAGAAATTGGGCACTCCACTTGTTTTCAGTGCTGCTGCTTTTCACTTGAGACCTCGTACGTAGCTGAGATGGGAAATCTGTTTGTTGTGGGCTGCACAAGCGCCAGGCTCCTGTTCTGTCTTTCTGTCTAAACAAAAAGCTGGGGAGAAACAGGGAGTGAAGGAACTACTTCCAGAGATCTGCAGAGCTGGGCAAGTCTGATCCTTACTCCAGTGCTTTGCCGATTTGGCCACGCTGCTTCTTCAGACTCCTTGGAGAGCAGGGCAGGACCAGCCCCTGCCAGGGTAGGATGCAGTTGCACGCAGGAGTGCAACAGGTCAGGCAGCAGGCAGGATGGAGTGTGAAAACAGCATTGCTTAATTTGAACTGACAGCATTTGATGCAACACATCTGAAGCTGTTAGGGCCAGGAGGCATTTCTTTTTAGCCAGACTCTCTGATTCTGTGATTCTATGGCTGCTGATGTCAACTTGGATAGCAGATGCTCCAGCTAGATTACAGAGGTAGGATAGAAAAGGTCTTGCTTTCTCATGATACCTACTTGCTAATTGAACTGGTTTTCCCTAGCCTTCTTAGCTTTCATAGTATCAAAGAATCATAGAATAGTTTAGATTGGAAGGGACCTTAAAGATCATCTAATGCCAACCCCCCTGCCATAGGCAGGGGCACCTCCCACCAGAGGGACGTTGGTCATACCCACATCCAGCCTAGTCTTGAACACTTCCAGGGATGGGGCATCCACAACTTCCCAGGGCAACCTGTTCCAGTGCCTCACCACCCTCACAGTAAAGATTTTATTCCCAATATCTAATCAAAATTTACCTTCTTTCAGTTTAAAACCATTATGCCTCATCCTATCACTATACTCCCTGATAAAGAGTCCCTTCCCATCTTTCCTGTAGCCCCCCTTTAAGTAGTGGAAGACTGCTATAAGGTCTCCCCGGAGCCTCCTCTTCCCCAGGCTGAACAACCCCAACTCTCTCAGCCTGTCTTCATAGGAGAGGTGCTCCAGCCCTCTCATCATCTTTGTGGCCCTCGTCTGGACCCACTCCAACAGGTCCATGTTGGTCTTGTGCTGAGTTCTCCAAAGCTGGATGCAGTACTCGAGGTGGAGTCTCTTCGGAGCTGAGTAGAGGGGCAGAATTACCTCCCTTGACCTGCTGGCCACACTGCTTTTCATGCAACCCAGGATGTGCTTGGCTTTCTGGGCTGCAAGTGCACATTGCCAGCTCCTGTTGAGCTGCTCATCAACCAACACCTCCGAGTCCTTTTCCTCAGGGATGCTCTCAATGCATTTACCGCCCAGACTGTATTCTCTTATGTTACACTGTGACTTCTGCAATTTTCGTATGGAAAAAGTAAAAAGCTGTGCAATCCTAGTTCTGCATCACTTTTCTTACAGACAGGCAGAATTGGCATGAAAATGGAGGTTAAATATTCACACTTTCTCGCACAGGTGCACAGGCTGAAATCCAAAGCTGGATGTCCAGTACTCAAGATTCATACCATACTTTAATTGTGCCTTGTGCAGTCAGATTATATTCAGTGATATGATGCATGAAATGGCAGACAGAAGCATTCTGTGGGGACTGTCACTTAGCAGCAGCAATTCTATCAAAACATTGGCAGGAATGCATAGTTTGCAGCTCTGCATAAACCCTGGGTCTCACTGGAATCTAAATATGACTTGCACAGAGTAAGGAATTGCTACACGCTGAATAAACTGAGGTAACTGGAGAAAGCTCAAGTGCTGACCTTCCTCTGTTTTGGACCCCTGCTGCCCCAACTCAAGGAAGTCTGTTCTGAGCTTGCCAATTAATACATATTCATACTACTTATTGAATGAGACAACACCCTGGCTATTAAATCTCCCACTTGCTGATGCATTTGATGTTGCTGCTTTGGCTGTTAAGCAAAATACATGATTTTTACTTTCCTATTACTTTAGTTTCTCAGAAATTTTTTTAGCGTGTTCGAATTGCTTTTGGTATCATGGCTTGGCTAATCTCTGTACGTTACAATTATTACAGTACAGCCTGAAGAAAAGCTTTGGGTTAAGGTGCCATAGTGGAAGGTACTGTATATACACATTAACTGCTTCTTTGCACTGATTTCTTCTTGCAAACTTGCTATTGCAGGACACAAGGACACAACATAAATAATGACAGAAGAAAGTGAGGCTGAGAAGTTACTTGTCCTTATGGCCCAGACAACTATCAGCAGAGCCAGACCCAGAGTCCAGCTCCTAGACCTAGATCTTAGCTTGTTGGACTGCGGGGCCACTGGATGCCAACAGATACCATGCGGTCATCTGGCAGGTGTGTCCAGGCTTGTGGATTTGAATTAGCTGCCCGTTACGGTGTAGGAGATGGATAAGGGGAATGTTTGGTGGTGATGCTGTGATTCAGCAGCAGAGGGAAATTTCTTGTGTCCCCTCCCAAATACCTTGGGAACTCCAACAAAGAGAGGAGGTAGACTCTTTCCTTTTCCCATCCTAGCCAAAAACCAAACCCTTTGCTGACTCACTTTCACCCTATGGTTTGTTTGTGAATAAACAATCTGAGGTGTGGGTATTAGTTACGATCAACTGGGGTTTTGTTCCTGTTCTTGGTGTCTTGGATGGCTGCTGTTTTTTTAATCTGGGAAAACTGTAGTAAATGAGTAAGAGGCAGTTTCTTTGTTTATGCACGGTTTGCATGTATGCGGCTGTTGGTATGAAAAGCAGCCATTCCCTGAGCATCCCAACTAAACAAAAACCTTCAGAGCAAACAAGAAGTGCAGACTTGGGATAGAGGTGGTGGGGGTGAACACTATTTTTTTAATTTACACTGATATTTCATCAATGACTAGGAAAGAGTTAAACATCAGAACTTGCTCATCCTCTTTTCACCTCCCAAGGTTGAATAAGGAAGGCTTTCCTGTCCCCTTCAAAGGAAACAAGTTTAAAACCATGGGGGCAGGGGATGGCACCATGCTCAGCACAGCCCAGATTCAGCAGGAATGAGATGCAGCCAGCATCAGCAAGACAAAGGCAGAGATAATGAAAACGGGAACTAACCCAAAGAATTAAGGGAGTCACACAGCATCTGATGAGAGCTGAAAGAAAAGCCCGGCTGGTGTTTCTGAGCTCTGTGTGGTCGCCTCCACTGCAAGTGACCCGCCCCATCGCAGGATGCCAGGAGGTGAGGATGTGACAAGCAGGTCCCACCTCAGTAGGTCCCATCACAGTCACAGCATGAGGTGCTCCTGGCCAGCTACAGGAAGAGAAGCGATATTAATGGAGTTTTGTCTTCCCCCTCTGGCACGGTTTTGCTGAGAGATGGGAAATGGAGGGAAGGAGTTAATCTCTGTGCAGTCAGACCGTGCCTCCTCCCTGCTATTTTCTCTCCCACTTCTATGTTGTTGCTCTACCCTAGTGCTCGGTCTGAGCTGCGGATGGAGCAACTCCCTCCTTGCACACTGCCCAGGCGCATACACAACCTTCTCCAAAACTCAGACAATTTAACATTTTTAAAAATAAAAAAATATCACAAAAGGGGTTATTTAACATATTCTCGGGAGTCTGTGCTAGTGGAACAACACCTCTGCTTAACGACGACAGTGTGCTTTTGGTTTAACCTTGCTGAGAAGAGGGGAGTCCAAAGCCAGCTCTTACCCCTCCTCCTCCTAGCTTTCACCCCTTTCTCACTGTCTGTTGCCCAAGAGTGAGAAAAGTTTTAATAATGCTAGTTGGGGGGGCACCATGTGGGGAAGACTAGCTAATGCTGTCCTGGCCAAGGAGGAACAGGGGAGTCAGTGGACATCCCTGTCCACTTTCCCACAGAAATGAGGTCAAATAACTGCAGCTCCAGCATTGCAGTGAGCCCTCTCCTTCACAAAAATTTCAGTACAAATTATTTTGAAAATTAGAGCCTTTCATATATCTGCTCCAGCATCTTTTGAGTTTTCATTTTGGGCAGGAGTGGAGTCTAGGAGTTATATTTAAGAAGCCAGACACCTTCCCAGGGCAGCCCCCTCCTTTTCAATCACAAAAGAGTGTCTCAAGCTTCAAACTTCTTAAGATAAAGCATACTTAGGTTCAGAGTAACTTCTTCATACACTTTCAGATTAATTTGGAGAACTATTTTAGCTGGGAAAATGTAGGTAGTTATGCCAATGTTAACATTTATTTGAAGAAGAAAAAAAAAGAAAAGAAAGAAGTATCAGTACCTTAGGGGTTTGGCACAGGACTTTGAGGTTTGGCAAAGAAATATTCCTGGAGTCAAAGAGGTGGTTTTTGCCATTCCTGCAAAAACCCTGCCCGATTTGGTTGTGTTATAAGAGTCTCCAAATCCTGCCCGATTTGGTTGTGTTATAAGAGTCTGAAAGTTACTATTCCTGCATGTGCAGTAGAACTTGCTAGCAGCCCTGCTCTGCTGCTCTGTGAATACTCTGCCCTCACTGGATTATATTCCCACACCCCACTGAACGCTGAAGTCCTTCTGCAGGCTGGAGACTGAAAATATGGTCATTGAGTTTTGAACAGCACTAATTTGGTTTTGGAACTCTGGCGCAAGCATTCCCAAAGGAAGATCGATGTTTGTTGCCTGTGCTTTGGCTAGCTCACTTTCTTTCCTCTTCAGTGCAGGAGATCCCACACCTAGGGTCATGTATCAGGGTGATTTGGCACATGTCACTTGATGGTAATGTCAGTGCCAGGTGATGGAGAGGGCAATGGGAGGCTGTATTAACCTGCAGGAAGATCTGGAGACTTTCTCTGGCAGCACTAGACTCTGTCAGAGAGCATTTCAGCCCAGGAACCCCAGGTCTGTAATGCTTTTCTTCTTACATATGAGGAGCATCCCCTTCCATCACTTTGCCGGTCTGTGTGTCCAGGGGAGTTTGATGGACTTTTCAGTGGAGCTGTTCTGGAGGAGATAGAGCAGGGGTCAGTGCCCATGGACTCTTGCAGGTGGGGGTAGGACAATAAGATTTTGTAAAATAAATTGTGCCTTAATGGAGATTCAGAATCTGCATCCTCTTCAGTGGGTGTTTTCCATGGCAGAAACATACTCTGACTGTTGTCATCAACAGCTGTGTGTGATTGTAGGTGTGTGATTTCTCAGCTCCTTTTACCTTTATTGGGGACTATTCACAAAAGGAGGAGCTCTCCCAAATCAGAGAGAGAACCTCCCCAGGAGCCAGTGTGAAGGCCAGCAAGGACTAAGCACCATTGCAAGACCCTCCACAAGAGCAAAGCTTGCTTCTTTACCCTGACATAAAGAGCAGCATGTACATGAAGAAAACAAAACACTTCTTCCCTTCAAAAAAACATGACTGAATCCCCTACAACAGATGTGAAAGTGCCTGCATGATAAAAGACACTCTACTGCACGTACTTCTTGAAAAGAAGATGAGAGGATGTTTAGCATGTGGTGGACATTAATAAATTCATTTAATGCAGTGCTGGAGTCACTCAGGCAAACCAGGCAAAGCTAGGAACTTAAGTAGAATTACATTACATGTAATATATAAAACATGTTATACAATTTGGCATTCAGCAAATGTTAGCAATCAGCAATCCAGCATAGATGATAAAGAACTGAAAGCTATGGCTTCTCCAAAACCGCAGAGATGCACAGAAAATGTTAATAAAATTTTGTGCTTGGGTTATACTGTTACTGTAATGTGTTGAAGAACACTTAGCCTAGAATAGAAAGAAGGGAGGAGCATCTTAGACTCCACAGTCTATACAGTAGCCAATTTCCCACTAATTTCTTTGATTTCAAATCATATTTCCTCCTGTTCTCATGTGGAATGGGACACACCAGGGAAGGAGAGTGGCTGGAAATCACCACTCAGGCTGATGGCAGTGCCCAGAGAAACACACTAACCAGATGCACCCTCTGGATTCCACAGTCCCTAAGCACAAACTTCTCTTGTTGTTTCCTCCTTTTTCTCTGCCAAAACTTCCTTCTTTCCTTCTCTTGTGTGTCTTACCATTTCCCTCCTTGTCCATTGATTTTCCCTTCAGGTACCAGTGGCCTGGAGAAGGGTGGTTCTGAAGTGCATCAGAGCTTTAGGAGCTTGTACCTGACCTGCTTCTAAATTATCAGATTGCTGAGGGGACAATCACTTCTTTGACTTCATTCAGCACAATAAATTGTCTGTCTGTCTTGTAACATTTGTTTATGTCAGAGTCCTTTCGTTCTGTAAGCTGTGCTTGACAAGGCAATCATCTTCTGCATTGCTAGCAGTTTGCTTTCCTGTTCCCTTGGGATTCAGCTTTTAAGTCTCTGTGGCAAAACCCCAGCCATTGCTTTCTTGAAAGCACTCCCAGACACCATGTGAATCTGCTCCTATGTGCATTCCTAAGCAACAGACACCACCACTGTCAGCTCTACCATGAAGATCATCCTGCCTTCCCACTACTTCTTCTTTTATAAGATCTGCTGCTTCAGAGATCAGTGTGATTGTTCCCATGGGGCTAATGCAGAAAGGCAGTCACAAACTTAAATGAGCAAGTATCACTAGTATTGCCTGGCTGCATCCTTCCCAGCTAACAGAGGGAAGGTTCTTTCTCGAAGTCTTGAATTTGGTCTTGTAACTTGTAGCTGAAGTGGAGAATTGCCTAGAAATCTATCTCCACCAACCAAGAGAGGACAGCAGAGCAAATTCTGGGTCAGATCAGCAGTTTGTTTGCCCCGGACTCGTATTTTCTTAGGTGCTAAAATGCTTAATACTTTAAAGGCAAACAAAACCTGATGATTTTAATTGCAAATTTGTAGGTAGAGCATTGACCCTAATACTTTTGGATTCTGATATTAGCTATCTCCTGGCAAGAAAGAGGAACGGTGCTGCATGAAGTAAGATGTTAGGGCAGAAATTTGGATATGGCAAGTGTCTGTCACGCCAGTGCACACACTATTACGTACGCTCACTTTGTGCAGACTCATCTGCAACATCTGGCCTAAGTTGTAACCCCTCACTCTCTTGAAAGGTGCAAGTAAGATGTTTTTGTCCCTTTTCACATGCTAGGGTATTCTGCATCTGGAACTCCAGAGTTTCCAGCAAGGAGAACTCGTCCTGTATCCAAGGCCCCTCCTCACCACTTGGCATTGTGCTGGTGACAAGGTCTGAGCTTTTATTTTAAGGTTTGAACCGGAAAAGCATTATTCTTTCAAGAATCTCAAAGCATGCTCTGACCATTAGCAATTCTAAACTCTGCTTAAGGTTTCTTATGGCACACAGCTTGATTGCAATCTAGTCTGTTGCAGTTTAATTCAAAGGTTCGGGCAAAGTGGCCTGGGGCAGAGCCACCACCACCCCCGGTAATTTTAAACGACCCATTAACGTGCCAGACGGTCACTGCCCCGGAGACCAGCTTCGGGGCAGGTAAGACTGCGCTGGGGGAGGGATCTGCAGCAAAAAAAGTCCGACGAGAAGCTCTTTTTGGGGCTTTTTGAGGTCGGGACAAGC